GGGATGTCGCAGCCGCCGCCCCCGGCGCGCCCCTCCCCCCTCCCCCGGCCGGAGGGGGAGGGGAGGGGGGGAGGGGCCCCCGCGAGCCCCCCCGGGCAGGAGGGGTTCGAGTGTGAGTGGGGGAGGGGCACGGGGGGGGGGGAGGGGCGGCGCGGGTGTCCCCATGGTGTCCCCGTGGGTGTCCCTGTGCCACCCCCCGGGATCCCTTGGGTGTCCCCATGTCCCTGTGCCACCCCCAGGGTGTCACTGGTGTCCCCAGGGTGTCTCCAATGTCCCCCCAGTGTCCCCAGGGGTGTCCCGGGGGTGTCCCCAGGGTGTCCCAGGGAGTCCCAAGGGTGTCGCCAATGTCCCCAGGGTGTCCCAAGGGTGTCCCCATGTCCCCGGGCTGTCCCCAGTGTCCCAGGGGTATCCCAGGCTGTCCCAGGGTGCCCCCATGTCCCCAGGCTGTCCCAGGGTGTCCCAAGGCTGTCCCTGATGTCCCCAGGGAGTCCCAGGGGTGTCCCAGGGAGTCCCCAGGGTGTCCCAGGGAGTCCCAAGGGTGCCCCCATGTCCCCAGGGTGTCCCAAGGGAGTCCCAGGCTGTCCCGGGGTGTCCCCAGGGTGTCCCAAGGGGTCCCCAGGGAGTCCCCAGGGTGTCCCAGGGAGTCCCAAGGGTGCCCCCATGTCCCCAGGGTGTCCCCAGGGTGTCCCCAGGGTGTCCCAGTCTGTCCCCAGGGTGTCCCCATGTCCCCAGGGAGTCCCAGGGGTGTCCCAGGGAGTCCCAAGGCTGTCCCAGGGAGTCCCAAGGGTGCCCCCATGTCCCCAGGGTGTCCCAGGCTGTCCCAGGCTGTCCCAGGGAGTCCCAAGGGTGCCCCCAATGTCCCCAGGGTGTCCCAGGGAGTCCCAAGGGTGCCCCCATGTCCCCAGGGTGTCCCCAGGGTGTCCCGGGGTGTCCCCAGGGTGTCCCCATGTCCCCAGGGAGTCCCAGGGGTGTCCCAGGGAGTCCCAAGGGTGCCCCCGTGTCCCCAGGCTGTCCCCAGGCTGTCCCACGGTGTCCCAAGGGTGTCCCCAGGCTGTCCCGGGGTGTCCCCAGGGTGTCCCCATGTCCCCAGGGAGTCCCAAGGCTGTCCCAGGGAGTCCCAAGGGTGCCCCCATGTCCCAAGGGTGTCCCAGGCTGTCCCAGGGAGTCCCAAGGGTGCCCCCATGTCCCCAGGGAGTCCCAGGCTGTCCCAGGGTGTCCCCAGGGTGTCCCTGATGTCCCCAGGGTGTCCCCAGGGTGTCCCAGGGTGTCCCAAGGGTGTCCCTGATGTCCCCAGGGAGTCCCCAGGGTGTCCCAGGGAGTCCCAGGCTGTCCCAGGGTGTCCCCAGGGTGTCCCTGATGTCCCCAGGGTGTCCCCAGGCTGTCCCAGGGAGTCCCAAGGGTGCCCCCGTGTCCCCAGGCTGTCCCAGGGTGTCCCAAGGGTGTCCCAGGCTGTCCCAGGGTGTCCCCAGGGTGTCCCCATGTCCCCAGGGAGTCCCAAGGCTGTCCCACGGTGTCCCCAGGGAGTCCCAGGGCTGTCCCAGGGAGTCCCAAGGGTGCCCCCGTGTCCCCAGACCGGCCGGGCTCGCGGCGCTGCGGCCGCTGCCTGATCACCTTCCCGGACGCGGCGTTCGCCGCCCGCCACGCCAAGCGGCAGCACCCGCGCGCCTTCGCCGCCGCCGCCCTGCGGGGGGCGCTCTTCGTCTGCTTCGTCTGCGCCCGCGCCTTCCGCTCCTCGCCCGCCCTGCTGCGGCACCAGCGCGGCCACGCCCCCCGCCGGGACACGCCC